TAAAGACTGTCACATTCTTTGTAGCTCATGTTTTTTTGAAAAGGCTGTGTCTGCCTATGCCTTCCCTATCGATTGACTGCAGATCATTATTGCCACTTACAAAAAGCAACACTAATAAAAATTCAGAGATTTCACCTCATCCCCTTGTATTCCCATAACTTTTGTAGATAACTTTATGAAATTGTTGTATGTGACGTTTTTTTAAAAATTTATTTATTATTCAAACCCAGGTGTGCATATTTTTGGATGCTCTCTTTACTGGGACCAGCTTTGAAGCTTTGGCTAGACAAGAAAATATATACAGCGGAATGGTTAATACAGACATGTTATGATGTCTATATTATCTGAGTGTCCGTATTATCCGGGTGTCCATATTAAGTTAGCTCTCTGGAAAAAAAGTCACAGACACGTGATTTATTTGATATATAGCATAAAGGAACAAGGAGGAAGAAGGGTAGGAACAATGACTGTAGCAAAAAGCCAAGGACATGAAACTTGTTGAGTAGGAGGCAGAAAATTTCTCAAAGGACTACAAACAAGGAAGAAAGAAAGATGTATCAAAATCAAATGTGTCATGCTATCTGGCTGCAGATGTTTTGGTAATAAAATCTTATTAACCCGTGAACTTGGTACAATGTCTACAATTGGCACATCATTGTGACAAGAAAAATAGAAAGTGCCTGGGTAACCAGTGTCTGTAAAGCTGGATTAAGAATATATAGGAATTTATGACTTCAAACACAGAAAAGTGGTTGTTGTGCACATTAACTACTGTGCTAACTACTGTGCGTACTAAGCCAGTTAATTTTAAAGAAAAAATGTATGCTTTTCCTCAGGACAAACAAAACTGCCTGTTATATATGGGTGTCCAATTAAGTGGGTGTCTGTTGATCATAGAGTGGGTTATCACAGCATTAATAAATAACTAACTCTATGTATTGAAAAACTAAATGGTTCAGTACATCACTAGGTTGCATGATTCTGCTGATAACACAGTGTGCCATAAATTCACTTGCCTCTAGGAAGAGGTTTTACACTGGAAATTATGTTCATCATGGAGGCCCATCCTTGATTGTGCTCTGTGGGTTTTTCTTGCTGGTTTTTTCCATTGTAAAATATTATTAGAAACTAGCATTTTTAAGAGCTAAAACCCCTAAGAGGGCCTGGGAAGCAGTTTTTAACGTGCGAGGGCCGGTAACCACCTACATTGCGGTGGGGGGGAGGGGAGAGCAAATTTGGCTGTTCTCTCTTTGTGGCTGTTTAAAACTGTCAGATTACTGAACCTTTCTTGAGTCATTGTTGGGCAGAGTCATGTTCATAAATTTCAAGGCGCTGAAAAGTACCTTTCTCCTGCTGAGCGTGATTGCACATGCTGAATCCACCACTAGAAGTTTGCAGATCATGATATTACACTGTAGGTTCCTGTAATGCCTTCATTTTGTCTAGCATGTCATTGAAATGTGCCAGAGACCGCATCATCAGCTGATATAATTCATTTTAAGAGACCGTAGTTCATGGAGTAGGCTTCAGATTTAATCAAGAACCTTCATCAAAAAAGACTATTCCGCATTGTTGCAAATTATACATAGCTTTGCTGGTTTGAAAATGCAGAAATCTCGGACTATTGACTTTTTGAGGCTTACCACGCATCAGACTGATGGGATCAAAACGGACCAATAATAAATTTAGATGCTTGAAGATTCTTATTCCAACAAAGATACTATTCATATGAAAATGTATATTACAATGGAACCTCTATAACGAAGTCCTTGGTCTAACAAACTATTTTTTTTTTGTCCAGTAATAGTAAAATATATGGCAATATGAAAAAGAACCTCGATATAAGTTAACAAACCTCGTTATATTAAACATATTTTGCCAGTCCCTTGGCCCTTCGTTATATCGAGGTTCCACAGTAGTTAAGGGGGTTGATATGGTTAGTAATCAATCACAGAGCAGTATTCTTTTGTTTAAGATTTAGAGAACAATGGGAACAATGGAGCTCATTCGTATTCAGTACTTTGAACCAATCGCAGAGCAGCATTAGAAATACCCCCTTCATGTAATAGTCAGCAAAAGCACATGTTATAATTTTCGTGCCATATTCAACTTCGCGCTAAAAGATGAAAGATGTTTTATTATGCAAGAAAATGGCTCCCTTTGCCATGAACGCATCAAATATTGAACGATTTGCTGCCTTAACAACACAAAGGCAGAAAGACCTCTTTGAAGTAAACAAGAACTTAACCGAACAATGGTTTTGGCATTTACGGCGATTGGAAAAAAAAGCAAGATAAACGAGTGTTGTTTGCACGCGATGGTATGCTGTACAAAGAATTTTACAAGGTCCAGAAAGGGACCGATTTTGCAGGGGCAAAGAAATTTACACAACACAGTATTTCATCGCAATTATTTTATTCACCTCAAAGAGTATATCATTGTACACAAGAAATAATAATAATGACTAAAGAAATGGCTACTGGTTACATCATCACTTAATGTGTAGTCTACCAAATTGTCTCTGTAAGTTAGGTCTTGTTCGTAGGTAGTTCCTTTTTCAGATGATACAAATAACACATTTTGCTGATTGGATAGTGAACAATCTATTATGTGTTCAACAGACAAACGCGCTCTCCGTTCAATCATGATTTCATTCTTTAAAGTTCAGTTTGCTCGGAAAAAAGTCTTAACTCTCAACAATATTCTTTGGAACATTGTCCAGCGTCAAAGGATAGCCAGTTTTATTGGACATGTATTCTAACTGACTTATGCGGCTTTGGTTGACAAACTCATCCAACAAGAAAAGCTGAATCACTGCGACGGTTGTGCTATTCAACACCAAAGTCAAAACCAACATTCTTGCCTCATGATGGATAATGATGACGCATGGAAGTATTACCACGATGAAGTGGTGGAACAAATTGACCTGAATTCTATGTTGAACGCTACCGAAAGTATATACAGTGCTCTCGGCTTCAAACTAGATAAATCATGGGAAGCGTACTGCCAAATATTGTCGTGGACCAGTATTTACCTCGCTTCTCTGGAACTTGATGTTGTCCAGCAGGGTGATGATCTTCAAAGCCGTATTTTATACGCTCTATACTACCGACCAAATGGGCTCAAATGGAAAGATTTCAGTGATCAACAAGAAACAATAGAATGCCTTGATAGAGTCGTGAGAAAAGAAGAACACCAATGGACCTTGACATGATAATTAATGAGATTCAAAATAAGCTTTGTTTCTAAAAGTGATAAAATTTCTTCATGATGACTAAAATTTTGAGTCGGTGTGTGTCTGTCTCTGTCTTTGTCAAGATGGGGCTTTCTCTGTCTTTGCTTCGGGTCGACTTTTCTCTGTATCGCATTGTATATAAAGAGTTTTCCTTTATGTGTAAAAAAATGTCATTTGTTCATAGTTTGTAAATAAATATGGTTTAATATACTAAACACGGTTTGTTGTCTGTCTAGCTGCGCGCGCGTGTGTGCGCCACGCGCGATTGAATCACCCGCGTAAAGGAAAAATACCGTGATATAAAAGGCCCTTGTGGCCCCTGTGGCCCCTGTGGCCCGTTCTCAATAGTCATAAACTTCGTGTCATTAGCGGTTTTACTCAGTTGGTATCGAACCTTCGTACCGTGAACATCATGGGTAAGCGTGTATGTCGTCATTGCCCAATATCGGGATGTCACTCTAAATTTTTAGTTCGATTAGCAAACCATTTGGCTCAGGTACACGAGCTGTCTGACTTAGAGAGAAAATATTGGCTCCAGTTTGCTAAATTACAAAATACCAACATGGTTCGAGTTTATGATAAAGATACTCCGCCAAATACCATTTCGATATAAATAAGAGCAAACGCAGTTGAACCAGTCTGTTATCAACATGGACCCAAGGTGGAAACACCCCTTTCCTGCTATTGTAGCTGGCCCCACTTGTTGTGGAAAAAGTCATTTTGTCAAACACCTGTTGGAATCTGGAGAAGAATTAATAGACGGAGCTCCTGAAAATATCATTTGATGGAATATACCAACCGGCTTATGATGAAATGCTAAGGACTATTCCCAACATCACGTTCGTCGGAGGAGTTCCTGGTGATTTAGAATCTATGATAAACCCAACCATTCGGAATTTAGTGGTCATTGATGATTTAATGCAGGAGCTTAGCAATGATCAAAGAATTACCAATTTGTTTACTAAGGGCTGTCATCACCGAAATTTAAGCGTCATTTTCATTCTTCAAAATATTTTTCACCGGGGAAAAGAACTGAGAGACATGAGTTTGAATTGCCATTATTTGGTGATGTTCAAGTCTCCGCGAGATAGCAGTCAAGTCAGTCACTTGGCGAAACAGATGTTTCCCGGTCATGTCAAATACATGCAAGAAGCGTTTCAGGATGCGACAAAACGCCCTTATGGCTACCTGTTATGCGACCTCAAACCCGAAACACCTACCGACTTCCGGTTGCGCACAAACATTTTCCTGGGGAGACTCAGCTCGCCTTTGTCAGAAAGGTATAAAAAGCTCCGTCGTAGTGATTGATATCAGTTGAGTATGGCCCAGCGACTAAGAAAGAACCACGATTTTCTTAAGCTCCTCGTCAAGTGTACCCCAGCTCAACGTAAAGCAATTTTGAAAGCAGCCGACGACGCTTTAGTAAAAACCATTTGTGAGTGTGTATTCAACGTACTTAAAGAAACAGTCCCTGTCAGTAAACCGGCAAAGAGAAAACTTCTTAAGCACAAGAAAGCCTTGACTGCTCTAGCTGAAAAGAGTACCCCGCTAAACAAGAAAAAGCAAATCTTGATACAACACGGAGGAAACTTTTTAAGTGTTTTGCTACCTCCCGTTCTTCGAGTGTTGAGCTCGCTTCTTAGTTAAGATGAATCATACAAGACGCATGGTTCTCGTTCCTGAAAACACTCTGGAACGATTACAGCAACGCCAGCAGATATTAACACCACCTGTAACACAAACTCTGAAAAATCTGGATAGCCAAATGGGAAATATTTTAGAAAGTAAACAACTTGGTGATGAGGAAAAGGCGAAGCTTTACAATCAGGTGTTGCAACGGTACTTGACTTATTACGATCAGCGGAAAGGCCAACCTCTCCATGTGAAGTTAACGGCCCCTAAAACAACAGAAACCCCCAAACCAGCTGAGAACGCAGAATCTACAGAGGAAGCTTCTCCAGATAATTCTCTTCCAACAGCAGTAGAGGAAGAGGTCATGAAAAGTTTACCCAAAATTTACAAAGCTGGGGCTAGACAGTTGTTGGATAAAATTAAAAAACACCAGGATGTGTTGCACTGGAATGTTGTATGAAAACAAACCAATCCCAGGTTCTCATGTGGTCGACCTAGTCAACGACACATTGCGTCACCGAAAAGGATTTGAACCAGTGGGATGGTCCGTGTTTGCGAGGGGCCTGGCGCGAATGAATGTCCCCGAAAACTTGGTTCGTAATCCCCAACGTCAGAGTGCCATAAGAGAGTTTAAAGCAAGAGTGAGAGAGGAGACCCCAGAAAGTCCTTCGCGTTGGCTACCCACCCCACCTGTGACGTTATCTTCTGTCAAAAAGCAGAGGCGCAGAGTCTAGAGTCCTCGCCCTCAGGCTGTTCGATGGTTACGATTATAAATCATGACAAGAGACTTTTTTTATTGTGAAACACAAAACTTTATTTGTAATTCAATAAAATGTGTTGAAAAGAAATTACATGGTGTCTGTTTACTGAACTTAGTGTCGTGCTTTTGCTCTTTGCTTGTTTACATCAGTACGATATTTCGGAAAACCTATAGGAAAATGTTTTTCAATAAATCGTTTTACGAGACTATCATTTTTACTTGTGTTTTTAGAAAAACGATGGACAATAGCACTCATACTTATATGCCGACTACGATATAGAGCAAAATACAAACAGTAATGTCCGCAGACTTTTGAATAGATGCTTTGTAATGTCACAGTATTAAAAGTCCACTGGTTAGAATTGTTGTTTAAAAAGGCAGTAAATGTTCCTGAATATTTGCTGGGTGGTGATCCGTAAGAATCGAAAAATTCTCCCTCTTGCTCCTTGGTGAAATAAAACGCCACCCAATGCGAACCTGGCTTGTCACTAGTATCCACATTGGCGATAAACAGGGCTGGGTAAAGTGAAACACTTGCAGGCAGCTGGTCTGAGGGATACACGCCTTGAAACAAACCTCGTGTAAATTTATCCTTTCTCAAAATAAGGGTCAGTTGAATAGTGTCCATTTTTAGTTTGTGTAGTCGAACAACACGTTGCGGTTCCCGTCAATTTCAATCACGTCTTGGAATTCAGCGTACACGATAAGGTTAACCGTATTGGCCAGTGGTTCCTTGAAATGAAGCTCAGCGCGCAGGTTACCTTGCTTTATTAGCTCAAAATGGTCACCTGAGCAGTGGTCTGGGGACAAGTCAAAGCAGAATGCTGTGTAACCAGAGCCATAATCGCTTCTACTGATTTGATTACCCGCATCTTGGGATAGCTCTCCAGTGCCTGAGAGCAGGCTTTGATAGCCCGCTATTACATTTTGACCTCTAGCTTCGTCAAAATTCAAGAACAGGGGTTTCCGAGGAATTTGCTCTCCGTCCACATAGACACCCACTTGAGTTAGATTGTGGTGTTTGAAGTTGAACGGGTTGGTACTGTAAGTTCCATTATATGCCTGAGTATCCACTAAGACCAGCACGATTCGTTTAGGAATGTGACCCAAAAAGATGTTGTCGGGGTTAAAACTGCTAAATCCTCTTGGAATAGACAGCACTTTACAATCGATTCGGCGAACTGGGTACTTGGTGCTGGAGTGTTTTAGTGCAGCCGCATGGCCAAGTATAATAGAGGAGGCCAATTTCACCCGGCGAACGAACAAGATGGCTTCTGTGATTACCACCTTGAAAGTTGGAGCGGCTGCTGATGACATTAGACAAAACGAGTTCTTGGCTCGGTTCAGTTTGATTCTTAAATTCACTCCATTTAGCATCAACCGGTCTTGAAAGAAAATGTCGCTATGAATGGGCCCCATCATATCCACAATATGACTTTCTTTAGTGAAATCATAGCGAACCTTTAACCCCTTGTTTGCAGCATCGTCTGCAGCCACAGGGTTGGCAACATCCATTTTTCCAGGGGTATCTTTGTAAAACATGGCCATAGAAAGTTGACTTGTTTTTGCTTCTTCTCCGTAGTTTACCAAGGTTTCGATCATGGCGCGATAAGGATAGGTATTGGTGGATGGAGAGATCAATCGCTCGTTCAAGGAAACGTCCACTTGGGAAAACAGGGAATGTAAAAACAGGTTCACGGGACCTACTTGTGTATCGGCGTCTATGGCGGTTCCATTTGCTTTTGTGATCTTGGCTTTAACAAATAACTGAGTGCGTGCCAAGTCCAAATACTCATCTCCGGTTCCCGAAACATAAAATTCGATCGGACCTCTGTCCGTGATGTTACTGATGGGGTGGTACTCGATCCATTGCCCTTTGGAGATAGAGGTTTGTGTCGCAGGAATCGTAAAGAGATCCAACTCTGATTTCGTACATTCCTGAGACTCGTGATGCACAAAGGCCATAGTTACTTCCAGAAAGAAAATTTCTCTTTGGGCTTCTTTTGCTGCGGAGATGTTTTGCTTTCTTGCCTTGAGGCGAACTGATTTTGGTTCCTTGCCCTTTTCTTTTTATAGCTTTTTTGCCAGCTCCTGATTGTGTCTGCAATGAATTCTGAGAAGGTAGACCGAGGGCTTGTTTCGTGCGCTTGTGGACTGCTGTTTTAATGTTATCTCCATCAAGAACATCTTGGACGACATTGACACCTGTTTGTAAAGCCTTTTTTCCAATCACCTTAGCACCCTGTTGAAGGTGAGGCATCGCCCAGCGAAACAGACCTCTGAATATGGACCCTAGTCCATAACCATGTTGAAATCGAGCACCGTGAAACGCTGGTAAACTCCCACCTTTTTGTTTGGCGTGATTAACATAGTACTGTTCGTACAACTTGTGATTTGGAGTGTGGAGTTTTTTCATCTTTAAAAGTACTGAGGTGCACTTTGACGAAAATGAAGTGTTAACAACACTCTCCCAAACTCAAATGGTACAGACTCCCCTGTGTCTGTCTTTATATTGACTTCGACAGTTTCAAATTGCTTTCTGCTGACAGGTAAATATTGGGGGCGCAAAAATGATTTACTGACTCACTCCCCAACCTTTCCTTCTACAGGAACAATTCGAAGCAAAGGTACCAATGCATCTCCAACATATTGTGACTGAATAAGACCACAGTAAATGAAAAGGTCGTGAAAGCCGTATTCCAAATCCACTTGTCTTTCAGCGGTAGAGGTATTAGAAATAATTTCGTCTGGTGAAAATCCCAGCAGGTATCCGATGTTACCAAAGAAAAGTTCTACGTTATTTTGTAGGTGAACAGTCACCTTTCTAGTGAACGCATCGTAGGAAAATGTCACGTCGTCATTGAAACGCTTTACATTCTCGATCAGCTCTTTCATCTTTGATAAGATATCTCCAATGGACGAATAATGACCTGGTGGTACAATTAGGGCTTCCCATACTCCGGACAATTCTTGGTTCCGAAGGTAGAATCGATTACCAAAATTTTCTTGGACATTATTCCAGCTGTGAGGATAGTGAATTTCCGTTAACGCTACTTCCCAGTCTCCCGTCAAGCTAACGGTCTGAGGTAAACCAACTTGGTACTCAGTTAATGTGTTGCTGGGAAACTTATCGAGGCTGCTATTGCTAGGGAGATGCAGATAAAACTGTTTTACCTCCATCGTACCCTGTGTTGAAATGAACTTTTTAATCTGGGTATTCTTAATTTATTAGAAACCACACACCATTCATTTTATTATTTCATTTTCTTTTATTCACTACACAAAAAATGCATGAATTACAATTTCAAAATATCTCTTTCTTGAACCCAAGAATCAAATTTTGGATCTTTGTATCCTTTCCATCTCACCAGATACTCTACTACGCCTTTACGCTTTCTCTTCCGCAAAATCTTCTCGACGCGGTACACATCATCGTTCTTAATAATTTTCTGTAATTCGGGTTCATAAAATGTTCCATCTAAGATTTCACCTGCATCATCTTTTAGTTTATAAACGGGTACTTGACGAGCCATTCGCTTGTAAACAGTAAAAATTTCTTCCGTAAAATTAGGTAAGTAAGATTTTTCAAACATTCTCTTCACTTTGCTAATCCTGACGCGATCTCCCACTTGAAATTTATATCGCACAGGCTTTTGAACATCATCCCCATACAAAGTATCCCACACTTTAGCTTCATTCGCTTTAGTCACCTGACTCGGTTTCATTTTAATACTTCGGTGGTAAGTGTTATTGTAAGAAGACACTAACTGGGATAATACATTGATATAGGTGAGAGTGTTTTTGGCCGTGAAATATTTGTACATCTTATTCTTAAATGTTCGGTTAAAACGTTCAACCACTGAGGCTTTGAGCCCAGAGTTAACAGTGAAAAAGGCAATGTTGTTGTCACGCAGAAATTTCTGGAACACGAGATTCTTGAACTCTGTTCCTTGATCTGTTTGCACTTTGATGGGTTTGCGACCAGTAGAAAGGATCTTTTGAAAGGCTTTGACCAGTTCCTGACCTTGTTTTGTCTTCAACGGTAACACAAACGCATACTTGCTGAAGATATCTATACAAGTCAGTAAGTATTTATAGCCCTTGTTGTAGCGACTGAGATTTTGGAGGTCGACCAAATCCGCTTGAAATTGCTCATCTATTCCAAAAACGATGACTCGACTTCTCTTGTAGCGTCTTCGCGCGGGTTTGTGAAGATTATAAACATCTTGCTGACTCAACCAATCTCGGACTTGTTTACGCGATATCTTGTTCTTTCCTTTCTCTTTGACTGCTCTGTAAACAGCATCTAAACCACCGAAACTTGCGGGTTGACTTGGGTCGAGGTAGATGCTGGCTAGTTTTTTCTCCATCACAAAATTCCGAGTTTTGTACAACCACTTTACCACCGCAGCAAGCTAATACACAACGTATGCGACTGAAAATGTGTTCAAAACCAAAAGTGGATGATGGCGGACAGCAACCCATCACTAGTGTTTACCTGAACGGTAAAAGATGTAATGACTTCTCTCTCTCTGGTACTCCTTTATATAGCTACTGTCGAATCTGGGTGAGAGTGGGAACAAGAAGGTGAAATAGTAGTTCCCATTCCTCCTCGGTTAATTCTAGCTGATCCGCGAAGTTCAAAAATACCACCAATCGTCCCCAGTTTACTTTTGAAAAGACCTCAGAGTGGAGTTTTTTCAACCTTTCTAGACTTTGAACCCGGCAGATCTTTAAATTCTTGTTGAAGCATTTCCATTTCACTTGAAGACACTTTCAATGTTTTGGCTTGTGCGCGATACAGAGAAAAGTCGATCCGAAGCAAAGACAGAGAAAGCCCCATCTTGACTAAGACAGAGACAAACACACACTGACTCACAATTTAGTCATGAAGAAATTTTATTACTCTTAGAAACAAAGCTTATTTTGAAGGTCATTAATTATCATGTCAAGGTCCATTGGTTGACACGAAGT